AGTTTTTCACGAAATTATCCCTTTTGATTCAATATGTTTTATTTCTAAACCATTGTAATCTGGCGTTTCTCCATTAACACTAGTCAACATCCCTCTCAATTTCTTATATATTAATAACAACGGTATCTTATCTTTATTCAATTCTAATAATTTATCTTCTAGATTTTCAATGTCGGTAATAAACCCGTCAGTCGTTACTGAAATTATGTTACCTTTTAGTTTGGTTATATTATTTAAACATTCACCTATAATACCGCGCGTGAACCCTGTAATATAACTACTTATAATAGGATTCGATAATATTCCACCCTCTATTCGAACAAACCTTTTGATTTTTATATCATATCCCTTCCGACCACTAAGACCCATTGCCGTTTGACCATAAATAGAATTACCTATTTCTTTATAATAATAGTTATAAAAAGTCTTTTTAGGGTGAGCTCTCCGTTTTGCTTGTAGATCAATGATTATTTTTCGAAAGGGTGATGGGTATTCTAAATAATCTTCTTCGTTTTGTTCGTTATTATCGTTTTCATCCTTTTTAGGTTTTTGAAAAGGTATTTCGACAGCGTCTAAAACCTTTAGATCACAACCCATGTTTTTAGCTACTACATACTCAACACCGGTAATACAACTACTACCTTCTAATGGATATATTTCAACATCGTCATTAACACTAGTTGGGATATTAGGGTATTTAATATTTTTGCCGAATTTAAAATTAACGTTTAAAATAATATAACTAAGTACCAACTCACGATCGGTCATTAGCTTTATCTGTTGTTCGTTAATTCTTTTTGCTTTTCTAATATCGGGTTGTCCTAAAGCACACATAACGGTTGTATAAGCACTTGTTAGGTCATAATCAAACCATGAATAACCCTCGTTTTCTATTCTATCAATACCATACATAAAAGATTCATTACGACCTCCTTTATAACCCTCTATGTAATTAGTTAAATATCTTGTTAATAAAGTCCCGCGAGCTATTTTTGGAGTTATTTTACTCACCAAATTACCAATCATAATATCTTTTCGAACCTGATATCCTAAATAATTTTGTTTTCTCCATTCTTTTATAACATATAATTTTCCGAGACTTGATAGTGTTAATGGTATACCAATTTTATCGACTGTTAGAAAAACTTCCTCCATTTGACAAGCATGTTTTAAAGTTATTTCTGAATCCTTTAGTGCATACTCTTCAAATAATGATGGCTTATCTTTCAAAAGTTTTTTCATATTACCGTTTCTATACGACCCAATATCTATCTTCTTATAATTTTCACCATAAATACTACCAACAGCGGCTAGACTTTTAACCCCCTGAGGAGCTAGTAAAATAGTATCTCTAATATGTACTTTAACCTTATGATTTTCTAATTCCAAAGGTCGACCTAAAGTCACAAAAGATCTACCAACTATGTCAAGCTTGTTTTTAAATATATCAAAATCTGACAACATTCCTAAATCTGCAGAAGTTTCGTGCATACATAAATACAGATTTCTAGATATACTTATACTTAATTTTTCACAAGTTTTTAAACCTAATTTTAAATTTAAAATAGATTTTTGTTTATTATTACACTCGGTTATTCTTTTTAATAATTGTTTATCCATTTCAAACGGAGTTATTTCTTTTATTAAACTTAAAAATTCTTTAAGACTTTCTTTCAAATATTTGTTAGTCATTTCTTCACTATCTCGTATCAGATCGTCGCTAGAGTATTTGTCGGTATATTTAATAACACTTTGGACTGAACATTTAGGAAATACGAAAACTATACAATCTTCCATTTGATAATTTTTAACAGAATCTAATAGCAACAGTTTTTTACGAATTTCTTCGACTAATAAATCCTTTTCTTTAAAGGCAAAATTTCTATAGATGTTAATTAACACAGACAATTTTTTACAACAATCCTCGGTATAAGACTTTCGTTCAGATTCCGATGGCGGGTCTTTGAAATTAAACATATCTTCTTTCAAACTACATTCAGTTTTATTCATTATTTTAATATACATACAAGCACTGGTTGATAAAGCTATTGATAACAATTCGTTAATTTTATGACTTGATGAGAGCAATTCATATTCACTATCATAACCACAAACAGTGTTTAATAAAGCTTTAAGACCTGTACTTTTTAACCGGCTCGAAATAATAGGGTCTAACATTCGAAAGGCATTTTTATGTAACTCTTTTAAATCTATGATTTTTTCAACATTTATAAGTAAACCCTCATTTTCAATTTTAGCTTTTAAACACTCTATTATTACTAAGATGATTAATAAAACTAAGTTTAAATAAAGTATATTTACAGAACTTGTTAATTTTAACTTTTTATCTGCTATTAAATCCTTGGAATAAAATTTCAAAAATAAAGTATTTAAAACAGCTATGTTAATATAAGGATCATCCACAAAACCCTTCTTTGTTAAGATAGACAATTCTATTAAATAATTTTCCAATACTTTTATGTATCTTTCTATGTCGTCTTTATTCATGTTAATATCTTTAATAAGTCCCGTTTCAAAATCTATTAATTCTAATAAAGACCTAAAATCACAATGTTTTAAATCCTCTTTAATACTATTTTTGTCGTTGTTGTTTATTTTCATTTTATATATTTAATAAGATACCCTAACGAGCAAGGACCAAAACGCATTTGCCCTCATTCCCCACCAAGGAGGCTCGTTTTGAATTTGTTGTTTTCAAAATAAACTGAAATAAAAACTGGAACCCTTTTAGAATAACAATACTAGCCCGCCAATTTCACGATTATTGGTAACAACTAATGAAGGGTGGACTGCAGGTCTGGTTTATAGATCGTTAAGTTATTAACAGCATCTATAGCAAGCGTATTCCTAACTTAGTCGGATTGAATTTATTTACTTTAGATAATTTTATATGTTACGAAATTTATCTGTAAATAAACAGAACCACACAACTACGGATCCTTGGAGAATTGTTGTATACAACTGAATAACAATTGCACTCTATAATAACTTATAGACTAATAACCAATAATAAATTAATAAAGATAATTCTAAAGAATTAACAATCATTGTTTTATTATTGGTAAGATTGCGTTTTAAGTCACGTCTAACTATAATTAAAACTAGCTTTCATAGATCCTAAAAACTTTAAAGATATTTAAATGAATACTCAAAATCTTTGCCCAAGACAGATATCTGCATAGGGTCGCAACGAAATTTTGTACGATTCCAGTAGATGCATAGACGAGTCCATGTACTTCACATTTGATAAATTCACGAGTTTTCGGACTTTTTCATGAAATGTGAACTCAGACGTATAAATACAAAAATTTATTAGTATTCTTTAAACTTATTAATACCATATCTTCATTTTAAATAATTCGTTTCAAAGCCTGAAAAATTGAACTTAGTTATTCAAAATTATTCAATAATTATTCAAAATTTGGAAACAGTACTACTATATAATTTTTGTATGAACTATTATTTAAATTAGTTATTTATTATTAGTAAGTTCTTTTAACTTACGCAATTCTTTTACACGTTCTGGACTTAATTCACGAAAGAATTTTTCACTATCGAAGGTAGGTATAAATCCTTTAACATATTCAACAAATTTTTCATTTTCTCTCGTTCGAGGTACAGCTCTTGAGATACATTTACGTGTTTTCAAATTTGATATCTGACTTAGTGAAAGCTTAACTTCTCGTGCTGGTTCGTGTTTGTGTACAAAGTCTATGATTTCTTTATAAGATTTTAAATAATTGTCAGGTATTCCATAACGACTTTCTGAATTTTGACTCAATAAAGCTTTTATAAAATTACGTACCGAAGTTTCTATATAGCTTTTATATGTTTTAGTATGCTGTGGTACAAAACCCATAAAATTTAATTCCTTATTAAACTTAGGTTTATTTAAAACTTGTTGAATAATTCGAATTCTCTCAAATTCCTTTGTAGATTCCCATGGTTTTGAATCTAAGAACCCCTTACCTTCAACATCTATTATTTTTCTTTTATTATCAAATTCTAAACTATAACGTCTATCTTGATATTTTACAACAACATGACCACCTCTTCTGTAAATATCAGAAGCACTTCTCAAACTAGTTTGTATAAATTCCGTTACGTAATCACCCCTTTCTATACGGTTTGAAAATTCTTTTATTAAGTATTCTCTTTCTAAAAATCGTGTTTGAAAACCTGTTGCCGCTGAAATACCTCCCTCGCTAAAACCTAGTTGACCCCGAGTTTTTCACGAAATTATCCCTTTTGATTCAATATGTTTTATTTCTAAACCATTGTAATCTGGCGTTTCTCCATTAACACTAGTCAACATCCCTCTCAATTTCTTATATATTAATAACAACGGTATCTTATCTTTATTCAATTCTAATAATTTATCTTCTAGATTTTCAATGTCGGTAATAAACCCGTCAGTCGTTACTGAAATTATGTTACCTTTTAGTTTGGTTATATTATTTAAACATTCACCTATAATACCGCGCGTGAACCCTGTAATATAACTACTTATAATAGGATTCGATAATATTCCACCCTCTATTCGAACAAACCTTTTGATTTTTATATCATATCCCTTCCGACCACTAAGACCCATTGCCGTTTGACCATAAATAGAATTACCTATTTCTTTATAATAATAGTTATAAAAAGTCTTTTTAGGGTGAGCTCTCCGTTTTGCTTGTAGATCAATGATTATTTTTCGAAAGGGTGATGGGTATTCTAAATAATCTTCTTCGTTTTGTTCGTTATTATCGTTTTCATCCTTTTTAGGTTTTTGAAAAGGTATTTCGACAGCGTCTAAAACCTTTAGATCACAACCCATGTTTTTAGCTACTACATACTCAACACCGGTAATACAACTACTACCTTCTAATGGATATATTTCAACATCGTCATTAACACTAGTTGGGATATTAGGGTATTTAATATTTTTGCCGAATTTAAAATTAACGTTTAAAATAATATAACTAAGTACCAACTCACGATCGGTCATTAGCTTTATCTGTTGTTCGTTAATTCTTTTTGCTTTTCTAATATCGGGTTGTCCTAAAGCACACATAACGGTTGTATAAGCACTTGTTAGGTCATAATCAAACCATGAATAACCCTCGTTTTCTATTCTATCAATACCATACATAAAAGATTCATTACGACCTCCTTTATAACCCTCTATGTAATTAGTTAAATATCTTGTTAATAAAGTCCCGCGAGCTATTTTTGGAGTTATTTTACTCACCAAATTACCAATCATAATATCTTTTCGAACCTGATATCCTAAATAATTTTGTTTTCTCCATTCTTTTATAACATATAATTTTCCGAGACTTGATAGTGTTAATGGTATACCAATTTTATCGACTGTTAGAAAAACTTCCTCCATTTGACAAGCATGTTTTAAAGTTATTTCTGAATCCTTTAGTGCATACTCTTCAAATAATGATGGCTTATCTTTCAAAAGTTTTTTCATATTACCGTTTCTATACGACCCAATATCTATCTTCTTATAATTTTCACCATAAATACTACCAACAGCGGCTAGACTTTTAACCCCCTGAGGAGCTAGTAAAATAGTATCTCTAATATGTACTTTAACCTTATGATTTTCTAATTCCAAAGGTCGACCTAAAGTCACAAAAGATCTACCAACTATGTCAAGCTTGTTTTTAAATATATCAAAATCTGACAACATTCCTAAATCTGCAGAAGTTTCGTGCATACATAAATACAGATTTCTAGATATACTTATACTTAATTTTTCACAAGTTTTTAAACCTAATTTTAAATTTAAAATAGATTTTTGTTTATTATTACACTCGGTTATTCTTTTTAATAATTGTTTATCCATTTCAAACGGAGTTATTTCTTTTATTAAACTTAAAAATTCTTTAAGACTTTCTTTCAAATATTTGTTAGTCATTTCTTCACTATCTCGTATCAGATCGTCGCTAGAGTATTTGTCGGTATATTTAATAACACTTTGGACTGAACATTTAGGAAATACGAAAACTATACAATCTTCCATTTGATAATTTTTAACAGAATCTAATAGCAACAGTTTTTTACGAATTTCTTCGACTAATAAATCCTTTTCTTTAAAGGCAAAATTTCTATAGATGTTAATTAACACAGACAATTTTTTACAACAATCCTCGGTATAAGACTTTCGTTCAGATTCCGATGGCGGGTCTTTGAAATTAAACATATCTTCTTTCAAACTACATTCAGTTTTATTCATTATTTTAATATACATACAAGCACTGGTTGATAAAGCTATTGATAACAATTCGTTAATTTTATGACTTGATGAGAGCAATTCATATTCACTATCATAACCACAAACAGTGTTTAATAAAGCTTTAAGACCTGTACTTTTTAACCGGCTCGAAATAATAGGGTCTAACATTCGAAAGGCATTTTTATGTAACTCTTTTAAATCTATGATTTTTTCAACATTTATAAGTAAACCCTCATTTTCAATTTTAGCTTTTAAACACTCTATTATTACTAAGATGATTAATAAAACTAAGTTTAAATAAAGTATATTTACAGAACTTGTTAATTTTAACTTTTTATCTGCTATTAAATCCTTGGAATAAAATTTCAAAAATAAAGTATTTAAAACAGCTATGTTAATATAAGGATCATCCACAAAACCCTTCTTTGTTAAGATAGACAATTCTATTAAATAATTTTCCAATACTTTTATGTATCTTTCTATGTCGTCTTTATTCATGTTAATATCTTTAATAAGTCCCGTTTCAAAATCTATTAATTCTAATAAAGACCTAAAATCACAATGTTTTAAATCCTCTTTAATACTATTTTTGTCGTTGTTGTTTATTTTCATTTTATATATTTAATAAGATACCCTAACGAGCAAGGACCAAAACGCATTTGCCCTCATTCCCCACCAAGGAGGCTCGTTTTGAATTTGTTGTTTTCAAAATAAACTGAAATAAAAACTGGAACCCTTTTAGAATAACAATACTAGCCCGCCAATTTCACGATTATTGGTAACAACTAATGAAGGGTGGACTGCAGGTCTGGTTTATAGATCGTTAAGTTATTAACAGCATCTATAGCAAGCGTATTCCTAACTTAGTCGGATTGAATTTATTTACTTTAGATAATTTTATATGTTACGAAATTTATCTGTAAATAAACAGAACCACACAACTACGGATCCTTGGAGAATTGTTGTATACAACTGAATAACAATTGCACTCTATAATAACTTATAGACTAATAACCAATAATAAATTAATAAAGATAATTCTAAAGAATTAACAATCATTGTTTTATTATTGGTAAGATTGCGTTTTAAGTCACGTCTAACTATAATTAAAACTAGCTTTCATAGATCCTAAAAACTTTAAAGATATTTAAATGAATACTCAAAATCTTTGCCCAAGACAGATATCTGCATAGGGTCGCAACGAAATTTTGTACGATTCCAGTAGATGCATAGACGAGTCCATGTACTTCACATTTGATAAATTCACGAGTTTTCGGACTTTTTCATGAAATGTGAACTCAGACGTATAAATACAAAAATTTATTAGTATTCTTTAAACTTATTAATACCATATCTTCATTTTAAATAATTCGTTTCAAAGCCTGAAAAATTGAACTTAGTTATTCAAAATTATTCAATAATTATTCAAAATTTGGAAACAGTACTACTATATAATTTTTGTATGAACTATTATTTAAATTAGTTATTTATTATTAGTAAGTTCTTTTAACTTACGCAATTCTTTTACACGTTCTGGACTTAATTCACGAAAGAATTTTTCACTATCGAAGGTAGGTATAAATCCTTTAACATATTCAACAAATTTTTCATTTTCTCTCGTTCGAGGTACAGCTCTTGAGATACATTTACGTGTTTTCAAATTTGATATCTGACTTAGTGAAAGCTTAACTTCTCGTGCTGGTTCGTGTTTGTGTACAAAGTCTATGATTTCTTTATAAGATTTTAAATAATTGTCAGGTATTCCATAACGACTTTCTGAATTTTGACTCAATAAAGCTTTTATAAAATTACGTACCGAAGTTTCTATATAGCTTTTATATGTTTTAGTATGCTGTGGTACAAAACCCATAAAATTTAATTCCTTATTAAACTTAGGTTTATTTAAAACTTGTTGAATAATTCGAATTCTCTCAAATTCCTTTGTAGATTCCCATGGTTTTGAATCTAAGAACCCCTTACCTTCAACATCTATTATTTTTCTTTTATTATCAAATTCTAAACTATAACGTCTATCTTGATATTTTACAACAACATGACCACCTCTTCTGTAAATATCAGAAGCACTTCTCAAACTAGTTTGTATAAATTCCGTTACGTAATCACCCCTTTCTATACGGTTTGAAAATTCTTTTATTAAGTATTCTCTTTCTAAAAATCGTGTTTGAAAACCTGTTGCCGCTGAAATACCTCCCTCGCTAAAACCTAGTTGACCCCGAGTTTTTCACGAAATTATCCCTTTTGATTCAATATGTTTTATTTCTAAACCATTGTAATCTGGCGTTTCTCCATTAACACTAGTCAACATCCCTCTCAATTTCTTATATATTAATAACAACGGTATCTTATCTTTATTCAATTCTAATAATTTATCTTCTAGATTTTCAATGTCGGTAATAAACCCGTCAGTCGTTACTGAAATTATGTTACCTTTTAGTTTGGTTATATTATTTAAACATTCACCTATAATACCGCGCGTGAACCCTGTAATATAACTACTTATAATAGGATTCGATAATATTCCACCCTCTATTCGAACAAACCTTTTGATTTTTATATCATATCCCTTCCGACCACTAAGACCCATTGCCGTTTGACCATAAATAGAATTACCTATTTCTTTATAATAATAGTTATAAAAAGTCTTTTTAGGGTGAGCTCTCCGTTTTGCTTGTAGATCAATGATTATTTTTCGAAAGGGTGATGGGTATTCTAAATAATCTTCTTCGTTTTGTTCGTTATTATCGTTTTCATCCTTTTTAGGTTTTTGAAAAGGTATTTCGACAGCGTCTAAAACCTTTAGATCACAACCCATGTTTTTAGCTACTACATACTCAACACCGGTAATACAACTACTACCTTCTAATGGATATATTTCAACATCGTCATTAACACTAGTTGGGATATTAGGGTATTTAATATTTTTGCCGAATTTAAAATTAACGTTTAAAATAATATAACTAAGTACCAACTCACGATCGGTCATTAGCTTTATCTGTTGTTCGTTAATTCTTTTTGCTTTTCTAATATCGGGTTGTCCTAAAGCACACATAACGGTTGTATAAGCACTTGTTAGGTCATAATCAAACCATGAATAACCCTCGTTTTCTATTCTATCAATACCATACATAAAAGATTCATTACGACCTCCTTTATAACCCTCTATGTAATTAGTTAAATATCTTGTTAATAAAGTCCCGCGAGCTATTTTTGGAGTTATTTTACTCACCAAATTACCAATCATAATATCTTTTCGAACCTGATATCCTAAATAATTTTGTTTTCTCCATTCTTTTATAACATATAATTTTCCGAGACTTGATAGTGTTAATGGTATACCAATTTTATCGACTGTTAGAAAAACTTCCTCCATTTGACAAGCATGTTTTAAAGTTATTTCTGAATCCTTTAGTGCATACTCTTCAAATAATGATGGCTTATCTTTCAAAAGTTTTTTCATATTACCGTTTCTATACGACCCAATATCTATCTTCTTATAATTTTCACCATAAATACTACCAACAGCGGCTAGACTTTTAACCCCCTGAGGAGCTAGTAAAATAGTATCTCTAATATGTACTTTAACCTTATGATTTTCTAATTCCAAAGGTCGACCTAAAGTCACAAAAGATCTACCAACTATGTCAAGCTTGTTTTTAAATATATCAAAATCTGACAACATTCCTAAATCTGCAGAAGTTTCGTGCATACATAAATACAGATTTCTAGATATACTTATACTTAATTTTTCACAAGTTTTTAAACCTAATTTTAAATTTAAAATAGATTTTTGTTTATTATTACACTCGGTTATTCTTTTTAATAATTGTTTATCCATTTCAAACGGAGTTATTTCTTTTATTAAACTTAAAAATTCTTTAAGACTTTCTTTCAAATATTTGTTAGTCATTTCTTCACTATCTCGTATCAGATCGTCGCTAGAGTATTTGTCGGTATATTTAATAACACTTTGGACTGAACATTTAGGAAATACGAAAACTATACAATCTTCCATTTGATAATTTTTAACAGAATCTAATAGCAGTTTTTTACGAATTTCTTCGACTAATAAATCCTTTTCTTTAAAGGCAAAATTTCTATAGATGTTAATTAACACAGACAATTTTTTACAACAATCCTCGGTATAAGACTTTCGTTCAGATTCCGATGGCGGGTCTTTGAAATTAAACATATCTTCTTTCAAACTACATTCAGTTTTATTCATTATTTTAATATACATACAAGCACTGGTTGATAAAGCTATTGATAACAATTCGTTAATTTTATGACTTGATGAGAGCAATTCATATTCACTATCATAACCACAAACAGTGTTTAATAAAGCTTTAAGACCTGTACTTTTTAACCGGCTCGAAATAATAGGGTCTAACATTCGAAAGGCATTTTTATGTAACTCTTTTAAATCTATGATTTTT